AGATATATAATATGCTTTCATATAGTTATTATAACAGATAGTCAACAAATGGTGGCTTTTATCATTATTACATCTTCAACTGGAATTTATAAGATAGTGTACAGAGTGGTTAAGTGTATGCATTTCAGATCTAGGATGCTTTGGTTCAAATACTGGCCTCTTTCCTTGACCAAACTTTAGGCCGGTTCCTCTGAACTCTCCTCTCAACCAGGCCTCTAAAGACTTTATCACTATACCAACATAGTTTATTTTTGGGGGGGATGGGAGTTGGGGGTACTGGGAATTGAACTCAGGGGCACTCAACCACTGAGCCACATCCCCAGCCCTATTTTGTATATTATTTAGAGGCAGGGTTTCATTGAGTTGCTTAGCGCCTCACCATTGCTGAGGCTGGCTTTGAACTTGTGATCCTTCTGTTTCAGCCTCCTGAAGTGCTGGGATTATAGGTGTGCGCCACTGGACCCGGAACTAACATAGTTTTTAACAGCTCAAGATCACATCCTAGGATAACCCTAAGAGTTCTTACAGTGCCTTCCAGAGAATTCTCAAGACTGCCAAAAGAATTATGTTTATTCAGCCAAAACCTAAAGATAAGGTCTCTGTCTCTCATCCTTTATGGGAGGGCGGGAGTCTAGCTTCAGTTAATAAACACATGTGGGTTTCACATAGACCAACACCCTTCCAGCTTGTGGTTTTTTTCCACTTCCCCAACTCTTCTGAGTACCCACGCACTGCCCTCTCTACTAGCTCACTCTCCATTTAAAATGCTCAGTTGCCTTTGAACAAATGAAAATTTGAATTCAGTTCATGCTGGAATCTTTCCCTGTTGCCATAGTGTATTACTGATTAAAACCTGTCCTTATCAGTATAACTAGTGTCAGGCTACATTTGACACTCCAAAGCTTGTTAGATGTGTGTCCTGAGGAAGTCACTTAGCATCTCTGTACCTCATTTTCCTTGGTTGTAAAACAGGAGATAATGATGCCACCCTTTAGGGTGATTGTGAGCTCTGGGTGAATTAGCATTCAAAAGTACTGTATTTAGAACAATGGGTATTACCTATTTTTTTTTCTAACCTTGCAAGCTATTTAATACTAAGATATAGCTCTAAAAATAAGAAATATCTTTATGTGTATGTACTCTCTCACACACACTCCTCTATATTTAGTATAGCAAAGTCAACTTGATAGAAATAAAGACAGTGACTTTTCATCTAGTCAGTTATTGATGAACAATAGCATTTCATGATACCATATTTCTGGGTATTCACCTGGAACAGATTGATTGGTATGCAAGATGATGAATGTAAATACACTTTAGGCTGAAAAAGTGAATCCTATCTGAGTAGTAAGTTCTTTCCTAGAACACATACCTGGAAATCGCAAAGGTCATTGAAATTTCAAACGGAACAAGATCCTCTGTGAGATTTGTAAAGCTTTGTAGTTGTCGGTGACACCAAAAAATGTGTGTGGGTCCAATCCGTGCCTGGTCTCCCAGGGCCTAGCTGCAGGAAAGCTATTGGGTGGGAAATCTCTGGGGTTATGTGGCTCACTCCTGAGTTATGTGCAACCAGCAAGAAAGAATAGAAGATCAAGTTTCTCTCCTCTAGAGGGGTTCCTATTCAGATGCCTCCAAAGCATAGAGGGGCGGCATTTAGCCCCCTGTTGCTCACAGCCCAGAGGAGTCTTGGCTCAAGCTGTGGGTTGATCCCACTGCTGCCCACGCTCTTAGCTGCAGAAGCCGCATCCAGAACTCACTCATTAGTGCCTGTGCACCTCGTCCCAACTGTTCTGTTAAAGGAGCAACCGTGAAGCTACAAACACATTTTCTTGCCTTTAAGCTATGTTGAATTTGTTGGAGGATAATGAAATTTAACAAAAGGGAGCATTTCTATTTATCACATTTCATTCAATCCTTGTTTCTTTTGCTCTCTGGGGATTTTTTTTCCATTTAGATTTCTATAGAATGCGAACGATACAGAATCTTTATGAATCATCAACATTTAAATGAATGTATTTTCTAAAGGTCGACTCTCTCTTGCACTTGAGGAGTGTTATTGGTGGGATTGTTTTTTCTAGTGCCAAGTCCCTTCAAGGAGCGCTAGAAGAAATGGGCACTGAGAAGTGAAGGAGAAAAAAAAATAAATTAAAACAAGGAGGATTCTGGGTCTGATACATGCTACTTGCATGGTTTTGGGAGAGTAGGACACAATTGTTTCTGGTGTTGAAGGATCTTGAAGGGGAAACCTGAGCCAGATTAAGTCCACCAAATGGACTCTCATAGCTGAAACTCCCTTCAAGCTGGGCCTTGTCACTCTTGCTTTGAAGCTAGCTCCAGCAGGCTGTGGTGGCCAGGGAACAGCGGCCGTGGAAGGAGGAGCAGACTTGAACAGCCAGCCACCTCCCTCCCCAGAGGTCTCACTCTCAAGCTCACCCCTTTATCTTTGCTGCCCGAACTTTCTACCTTCTTCTCCCCAGAGCTTCCTGACTCCTCTCCCATAAACTCTTGTATCTTTCCTCTCTCCTCACTGGCTCAGTGCTTTTCTGTTCACATCAGGCTAACCTTCATTCTTCTTTTGAGATTTTGATTTTCTTTTTCACCTGCATCCTTTACAAGAAAAGAGTATCTGACTGAAGAGTCATCATGACCGAAAACACCCTCTGCTACCCCCCAAACCAAACAAACTTTAACATTTTATTTTCTGGGGGTAAAGGAATGAAGAGGCTCTGAAGGCTTAGGTGTTAACATTTTCTGAGGCTAACACATAACCTTTGGTAATCAATTACTTAGTGCAAGAGTAAATGGGGATCAGGTCACCTTATGTGTTAAGTATTGTGTCTAAATAAAAACACTGGGATGTCTTCTTGCAACATACCTGGCAATTAATTTCATCCAGGCTCCTGTGAGCGCAATCACTGAGCAATGGTACTAGTAACTACAAAGGCTTTCTTCCCAGAAACATAGAGCACCATGTCTACAAAATGGTATTTTAATGGCTCAGTTTAATCATCAGATTCAATTTTTAGCACATATTTATTCCTTCTCCTCCATTTGACCTTCTTGCTCTTCTTTACATATGACTATTTTGCCCTCGTGGGGCCCTTGCACTTGTGCTCACTCCCTTCCTTATGCAGGTCCCTGCCCAGGTTTCAACTCTAGGGCGTGTTCTCCAGGGCCCTGTGGAGTGTCCTGTCCAGCTCTACCTTCTGCATAGCTCTTAGGACTGCTAGAAAGTCTTAGCTTAGGGGTCCAGTAAAACAAGAACCTGAAGCAAAGTTGTATTTGAATGCATGATTGGGAGGGACCATCCCAGGAAGAAAGGGCAAGGAAGCAGGGAATGAGGGGGAGCAAATATTTAATGATGCATTAGGAAGCTGACGAGTGCTGGTGGCTCAGCTCCTACTCATCTGCTGGTTCCTTCCCACTCTGTCTCTTAAGGATCCGTGTTCCTTCCTTGGGCTGCTAATTCCCTTGCATTTCTTGTTGTACTACTGGTCCACTGGGACAGCAACCAGCAAAGCCACTCTGCACTGGAGCATAGGAACTCCTACAGTTCCTCCACCTGTGAGGGGTGAGGTAGAAGCTGGGAGTTTACTATCAACAGGATTGTGGGAGTTGGGGCTGCTCCAGGGATAGTCCTGGGGGGCAGCAAGTGGATGGGGGACATGCAGAAACTGGGTCTAGTATTCTGATATTGTCTACTTACATATTTATTATCATCTCCCTCATTTGGAAGCACAGAGATTGTTTGTTTTGTTCAGTGTTCACTCTACCCATAATTGTAAGAACAATGTCTGGCCTATCGTAGACAATAAATATCTGTTAAATGAATTTATTGAGACCCTATGTGTCAGGGATTATTACAGGTGCTAGAAGAGATGGACATTGCCACCATCTCACAGATGGAAAAATTAAAAAGTAAAGTGACTTTCTTGAAAGTACCTACATCAATCTGGTAGGACTGAAGAAACTTTGAGATTACATATGATTTGAGATTTACATATGACTATGGACAACCATGAAGCCTCCAATATGTAATGAACTCTGTAAGGCTTTTCATTACAATTTAATTGAAGCTAATTTTCAAAATGAGAGCAGGTTCTAGATTTCTAGATTCCTGGCTTTTAGTTCACAAGAAACAGTGTGTTCCAGAAAGTAAGTGCTCTTGATTTCACCTGTACTTTTGTAAGGAATGGGCCTTTCCAAAAAAGCAAACCAAACAAAAACAACAATAACTGACTTCCTTTGTGAGCATTTGGTCTCTCTGTACTTAATTTTCCTGATGCAGAAAATGGGCACAGCCCCATGGAACCTACCCAATGGATGCCCAGAAAAACAGCATTGATTGCATTAATTCGCTGTGGCTGCCACAACGAAGTACCATAGACTGAGTAATTTAAACAACAGAAATTTATTTTCTCACAATTCTAGAGGCCAATGAGTCAGAGATTGAGGTATCCAAATGGATGGTTTCTTCTGAGCCCTCTCTCCTTTGGTCTGTAGTGGCCATCTTCTCCCTGTGTCTTCATCTGGTCCCTCTCTACCTGTTTATGCCCTATCGTCTTCTTCTTGTGAGGACTCTAGTCATATTGGATGAAGGTCCAATGCCAGGACTTCATTTTAACTTAATTATCTCTTTAAAGGCCCTATTCCAGTTATACAGTCAAAACTAAGATACTGGCAATTAAGACTTCATGAGTTGTGTGGGGAGTGATCTTGGGGAGAGACATATTTCAGCCCAGAACACTAACCCTAAAGAATTTGATCTTACAAACATGGAGTCGTGTCCAGGCTGATTTTAAAAGGCTAATGGTGTAAGTATTGTCACTGGGCAGCAATTACTCCATTCCCTGCTGCCCCCTGCCTTCTGTGGCTGCCTCTTCCTGCTCTTTTTCTTGGTCCTAGAATGAGATCAACAAGGCAGTCAGAGTAGGTCACAGAAATATCCAGAAATTCAGATTTCTTGCTGAGTGAATGAAAGGAATCATCATCCAAGTGTCTTTGTTTAAATTACCACGTTTATTTATGTCAACACAAAATACAACAACTTACAAAACAACCATTTTATCTTCATGTAACATAACTCTTCAATGAATAGAAGTACTACTGTTAATGTTTTGGCCTTTTCAAGGTCCTGCCTTGGGTCAAAACCACATTTAAAGAATGAGCAGATTCTTCCCTAATACACACACAAAGGAAACTTCTATTTTCTAAAAAAATCTCATTTCAGTAATTGTACAAAACAGCACAAGCAGTCTCATGTACAAGGGACTGCTACCACTGTGTCACTGGCAGCGCCACTGCAGGTTGCTCTAGACGTCCCCATCAATAACGGAGTGGCACATCAGTCCTTCAGATGTCCAAGGAGATTGTTTAGTAATCCTTCTCATAGAGCCCAGTCCTCCCTAAATGTATGATTTACCTGAGTTGTTTAAAAACCGGGATTTGGGGGGGGGTCTCCAAGTGATCAAATGTACACACATCAATCTGCTAGGACTGAAGAAACTTGGAGATTACACTGGCAATTCAATGGACAATCATGAAGCCTCCACTATGTAAGGAACTCTATAAGACTTCTCATTACAATTTAATCAAAGCTAATAAACATTGCACAAAAGTACAACTCACCTGGATTCCAGTGCTGTGACTGCTATTTGTTTAGTACATTTCAAACAAATGTTATTGCTTAACTAATACAACGTTTCTATCATTTTAACAACAAAAGAGGCAGTCCCATGCAGGGGAAAGAGGAAATGCCTTGGAGTAAAAAGATGTGAATTCTGATCCCAGTTCTTCTACTCATCCTCTGAGCCTTTGTTTCCTTGCAAGGATCAAATGAGATGAAAGTGCTTTCTGACACAGCAGAAACCATAAGGAAAAACATCCTACAGTGGCCATCTCGCCAATCAACTGATGGACCCCTAATTGTCCACGTGTATTTTGTAAGTAAAATCTTACTTCTTAAATGTGTGGTGTGCATCAACCACACGGAGCTGAAATGTGCACGTTGGGTTATGCAGATGGGAAAAGAACGTAGATTTAAAAATCTGCAATTCATGAGGGAGTTGTGTACTCTCGATGTGCTTGATTTACAGCCATTTAAACATTTGTTCTGTTTACCCCATGTTCCTTTTATATTTCTGGAACTCTCTTTGAATAAGCCAACCATTTAAGGTAATTTTTCAAAAAGAAATAAAAACTCTCATGTGACAATTACAGGTTTAGAAGACTCTGACACTGAGTAAGATGATTGAGAAATAAGGGAGAAGTAACAGTTTGAAAACTCAAGGACAAGAAGGAAACTGAGCATAGATTATTTTCCAGGTAATTTAAAAATAAGCTAAATGGTAGGGTTATTATTTTTGGTTTTACTAGTGACTTAATTTATAAATTACTTCCTTCTCATTTGTAAAGCAAAGTGTGTGTTTGTGTACCTGACTTACAGGTGCATACAAATTCACAGAAATGATCAATCTTACAATTTGGGATATCTGTGGAAGAAATGCATCCTTTCAACTGGAGTGAATTCGGAATCTCAATTCTCCTGGTTTAAAATAAATCTTTCTTTAAGATGGATTTACTGCAAGTTTAGAATAACTGCAAGTGTGGGTACACAATACAAGCATATGGACTTTGTAACTTTGCTGGGACAAAGACTTTAGGTAGCTGTACTCCTGAAACAAAAGCGATTCTAATTTTCAACATTTTTCAAATGCAAATCAGGCCCCCATGAATCATTTTGATGATTATTTGAAGCATTAATGCAACAGAGTTAGTATTCCTCAAATGATCCCCAAAGTCACCTCTATGCTAAGGAAATTCCTCTTCTTGATTACTTTGAACCTGTCAACATAGTGTCTCACCTTCATACAGAGAATGACTCATCTCCAAATGACCTATTATTATCTTAGGCCAACCTCTTCTTGAAGCAACAGAGAAAGGAAAATAAAATAGTGCATTAACATTTCACATCAGTGAAGCCAACTTTTCCCACGCGTCAAGTGGTTCTAGCCTTCTGTGGTGAGATCCACTTTTTGTTTTTCCCTGTGTTTATAGGTTACATTTTTAAAAGTACTAGTGGAGCCTCTGTACAGTGGATTTGTTCCCTAAAAGAAAAAAAAGTTCAGATGAAAGTCTGCATACTTTGTTATGATACTATTTTAATATTCCTAGGTATTTTTATTATAGTTCAAATTGGAAGATGAGAGTCAATATCAATCTTGGAAGCCATTGGAATAATTTTGATTCATTTGATATTTCATACTCTTAGCATTTTCAAATTTATGGCAGTGCCACTGCAGGTTGCTCTATATCTTTGCTTTTTTTCTAATAGGTGAAACTAGTCCCACATGGGTATTCTGTGTGTGTAAGGGGAGGGGGGTTCAGTGTGTGTGTGACCCAGAGACTCGAGCATGCTAGGCAAGTGCTTGACTGCTGAGCTATATCCCCAGCCTTCCACATGGGCATTCTAAAAATCTTACCCTCATTGGAAACACACTGATTTATGGATAGAAAACATGCTTACATGTCCTGTTGCCTATTTTCCCAGCACTGAAAACAGTGTCCAGCTGATATTAGGGACTCAATATGCATTGAAAGGGCAGAACAAACACACATAGGTGAACCAAAAGTGAGATGTAAGGTAAAGTGAACAGTGGGAAAAGTGAAACTGATAGAAACATAACACATATGAATGACATAGTATCTGTCTTGAAGCTGCTGTTGGTGAGTTATCAGACAGGGCGTGATAACGTTGTGTAAATGAGATCAAAACTGAGAAGGAGGAGCAGCTAGCTGCTTGGAAGGAGCACAGACAGATCCCCTGGACAGCTAACACTTGCTCTGGAGAGCAGAAGAACTTTCTGGCATATGCTTACTAGACAAAACTGTGTGTAAAGCAGATGACTGCAAGTGACTGGTATGTAAAACCTGGGTTCACAAATGAGTGGTGGTCTGAAGGCAGACAGCACAAAATGGCTTGGCCCCTGGGGCCATTGGGAGATTGAGAGTTGATGCCCAGAGAACACAGCTGTGCTGTTGAGGCTGAAGATGTGTTTGCAGCAGTGGTGCTGTAGCCAGAGGATCAGAGGACAAAGCCTGTTGAGCTGTCCTAGGCAGGAGAGCAAGGGATCTCTGTGAGGTACAGTGTCTTCTCTCCTAATTTCCAAGGTTGACACACAGGCTTTGGCATCAGACAGTCTGTGTTCAAACCCAGCCTACCAGGTGACTTTACTTAAGCAACCCTAGGCCTTGATGTGCTCATCTATTAAAGAGGGATTAACAAATTCCCTACTCTATCCGTGAGATAAGATCCCATTGCACTGTGTCTAGAACGTACTAACTGTTCAATGAATGCTGCCTCTTTTTATTAGTTCTTACTTATAACTTTTCTTCAAATTTGAAAGTTTCTTTTCTTTTAGATCCTGAAGAAAGTTATATTTTCTGATAGGGCTTTGGAAGTCTTAACATTTCCAAACCCATATGTGTGAAGTCCAGATAATATCTCTGAGTTACGTTGGTCACTTTATTCCATGAATTGTAGAGATAGTCATATTTTGTAGACATAAATTTTAAAAAAAGAAGAAGATTGTATTTGCTATCTCAGAACATTTCTTTTCTTTTTTCCCAGTACCAGGGATTGAACTCAGGAGCACTCAACCACTGAGCCACATGCCCAGCCCTATTTTGTGTTTTATTTAGAATCAGGGTCTCACTGAGTTGCTAAGCAGCTCAAAATTGCTGAGGCTGACTTTGAACTTGCCATCCTCCTGCCTCAGCCTCCTGAGCTGCTGGGATTACAGGATGTGCCACTGTGCAGGACTATTTCAGAACATTCTTTCAGCTCTCAGAAGAACTGAGCAAAACAAAAACATTCCCTGACGTCTTCTACACGTTGCCTTTGGACTTGCTACAGGGCCTTCTTTGTGAGCAGTAGTCAGACCCATACCCAGTGGCTCAACCTCTGACACAGTGCCTTTGGAGATAGATGCTATCTCTCTGTTGAGGGCAAATAGGAAAAGGTAGCTTGGCTGCTGGTGGATGAGGGTGAAGGTCAGGTTGCTGTATTGTTCCTACTTCTGAGCTCAGCCTGGATAATTCTGAAGGATCTCTAGTCCTTATTCCTCAAAACCTTGGAATTTTTGACGGTGAATGGCAGATTGATGTGGTCTCTGATGATGGTAGAGTCTCATTTGGAAACAAAAATCATGCATGGAATTCTTTGAAGTTTAGAACACTAGTATCTACTTGGCTACAGAAGAACAAAGGACCTGGCTAAAGAGGCAAGGTAGAAAACCTAAGAGGTGCAGGCTGGAAATGAAGGGCAGAGCCTCTGCTGAAGGAAGGAAACTTAATGAATAGAAAAGGGATTCTGGAAGAATAAATAGACTATGAGCAGGGCCAGACCTTCGTAGGGCCAAGCGCTTGTTTGTAGGTCCTACCCCATGTCATCTTGAACATATTAAAATGCATCCACATTCCACATTAACTAGAATTTTTTGTGCTATAAAGGTGGGGGGGATTTGAATTGCAATTGACGGAATAATGTTATTTTGTAGATATTTAGTTGAATGTTTAATTTTGTGCAGTTTTTATTCTGTATTTTAAAACAACATCAACAACAAACATTTAGGTCTGTGATATTTTTTGGGGGGTTGATGATGGGTAAAGCGGACTCCATTGCTGGAGGAGGTTGAGGAGGAAGTATAAAGGTGGAGCACGAGCAAGTCCCTGTTGCAGTCAGAGGTGTGTATAATGGGGTGGTTTTTGACCTCAGCTGATGCTCAGAGCCCAGGAGAATGGGTGTAAGTAGGGGCATCAGCACCAGATGTGCCTGCATTTGTGCTGTGCAGGCTGCAGTGGCCCTGCCTGGAGTTCCAACTGAAATGTAGACTTGGGTCCTCCCCATTTCGGGAGAGTCTCCACTCCATCGTTTAGACAGTTTTCCCCTAATCATCTGGAGTGACCAGGCTGATTTTCCCCCAAGGAATATTGGGGTTCTAATTTAGGCTGTGTATTCTGCAAAAGCAATGGCACATTTTTTTCAAGCTTGGAAAAAAGTGGTAATAAGAAAATTCTGTCATGACCCACAGCTTCCTTAATGATCGCCTAACTGCCAAAAGCAGACCTGATTTGCTTAGCACAGTGCAAAATCAATCCATGACTGCAAGAAATGTCAGCCTGAACATTTTTTTGCCTCAAGTTAATGACTTGTCATCCTAGAAAAAAATGTCTCATCAAAGATGAATTTAAATATCTTCCATTTGTGTTTTCATAAAGAATATGCAAGGGGGCTTATAAGTATAATAAAAAGGTAACCTTTCTTTATAGCTATGATAAAAAGTTTCAGGAGGCAAGAGTGAAGACTTTCCTGTCCTAACTTCTGTCACCTTAAGAGTCCAATGGGGCCGTATAGGTACAGGAGACCCTACTGACCCTTTTGTCCCCCGGTTTTAAAGATCAGTCGAATTCTTGGGGGAAAAAATAGGTTTTATATAAAAACTGAATTAAATTGAAGATCTTTAAATGTATGCACTGAGCAACACTAATTTTTTTTTCCTAGGAGGATATATTAGAGAAATTTGAACTGAATTATTTGAATTAAACCTCTTTTGCATCCAAGTGAATAATTATTTCCATCATTATCTAGTCAGGAACATCACACATTTGTTATTCAAGGAAACTCGACAGAACAAGGGAATAATATTTTTTTCATTTATGTTTTTTATCTGTTTAATGCATGTTTTTGTCCCATTTTAGTTGAAGAAACAGCAAAAATTTGGTATTTGAATTGCAGTCATGTTCTACATCCAGAGGGAGAACAATTTATGTTTTGGGGGAAATTAACTGTTAATTAAAATGTTATTTTAAAGATATTAATCATTTGCCAGCACTCATGCCTTGGTATAAGAACATTAAAACATGCTGGTTGGTATATAGGCATCATATAAGTGCCCGACTGCCTGTTTGTAAAACACTTTCTTGTTATTTCCAGGAGGATCAACAAAAGGTTGTGTTTGGAAGAACAACTAATGATTAGGGTTCCACCTGCAGCTATGGTTTGGGAAGCCCCTTAATCGTTCTCAGCTTCAGTTTACATATCTTCAAAATGGGGACACCAAGACTACTTTACAGGGCTGATAGTTGTCCAACTATTTGCTGCTATTGCTCTTTGTGCTGACTTATCCACATTGTTTTGCCTGCTCACCCTTCTGACCATTGCCAGGCATTTACTTGGCAGTTGGTGAAAGTTAAGATTGATATCTGTGGCCATTGTATCAGGCAAAGTTAACTATCCCACAACTTTGGCCTCATTATCACTATGTTCTAAGTCACCAAGATAAACCATCAGGTCACGTTTTACATTGTTAGGGATGGATCAATTATTCCATAGTTTACTCTCCTGAAGGGTTTTGTTCAGTTGTGAAAAATCCATACATATGCCAAGAGGAAAGTTATTTAACAAACCTCCAAAGACCCATTACCAGATCCAACAGTTATCAAGATTTTGCCCAAACTACTTTTACTATCTCTCCCTCCCACCCTCTCTTTAGGCTGAATTATTTTGAAACAGATCCCAGCCTTCATTCCCTTTCGCCCTCGTATACTTCAGTTTGCATCTCTAAAAAGGATGGATATTTTCTAGTAAAGACATCATGCCTAATGGTATTTGATCAAGTTAAGCATATTTCCTTGCTATTATTCTAATATCTAGTGTGTATTTATCTTTTTCCCAGTTGTTTTAAAATATATTTTTATAGTTGGACTGTGCAAATCAGGATCCAAAGAAGATCCATACATCACATTTGGTTACTGTATCCAAAGACATTTTTAATGGGAAGATAAAGTAGATAAAAATTTTCATTGTCCTTGGTCCTGCATCATATATTATGATTAGTTTAAAATATAACTCCTAAAATATAGATATCCCTTATTGAGATAAAATTATGCAAAAGGGAAAATTCTGTTTGCTTTAGAAATTGAAAATATTGTATAGGCTCAGAGAAAACAGTGTTAACATCAATTTATTTGGGCAGATGAGCCCAAAGGAGCATTGTGTTTGCCTGTATTTCTCCAGTGATGTCACTGTTTTGAGACTCAGCAATGTAAGATAATTGCTATTAGATAGCTAGACACACCATTAGAGATAGAGAGATTAAATTAAAACCATGAAATTGTTTCTAGGGGTCTCTAGAAATGTAATTATCCTCCTGTGGAATAGAAACACATAAAATTGTAGTCCTGTTTTCTGTTTGCCTATTGTGAAGAGAAGACACAAATTATGTCTATTGAGTACATATATTTGAAGGTTGATACTTTTTTTTTCAGGTAGCTGCTTAAAATTTATGTTATTCAGAAAAACTGCCTGGTGTTTAAAAAGTCTTCTCAACTTTGCTTTGTAACCTATTATATGAGTAACAAGTATTTCCGTGAAAATTGGCATGAACTGTCAGACTATTCACGAACATTATTCCATTAGCTATAGCATAACTAATTCATGGAAATATGTAGATCCAGCACCTATGTGTTATTAAATGGAGCCCAAGGGGTCCTCCTGGTGGTGAAGAGGCACTGAATAGAATATACCTCCATGATGTCCCTAATTTGCCGTATGAGGAATTTCACAGGACTCTTCTGAGTGGTGGAGATCCCCACTGCACTGAGAAGCAATGCATATCATGAGGGACACTTGTGGCCAGATAATGGATGAAGAGGTTTGCTCCCAAAGCAGAACAGAAACCAAAACTATTGGGATCGTGACAAGGGCGGTAGGGAAAAATGTGACACCTAAACTCTTTTTTAGACAGAAGAAAGTGGAGTCCCTCTCCCATCCTTTCTGCCTGGACCACTGCGACATACCGTTTGCCACTTGGCCTTTGATCGTTCTGCTTCAAATTTGGCAACTTCTTTGCGATCATGAAATGACACCAGCAGCTTCCAAATGCACAGGAGGACAACTCCGATGAGAAGAATAGCCAGTGAAACCCCCAACATGATCATAGGAATGTTCGGAGGTTTTGGACAGTCTGTGGAAACAAATGAAATTATAAGAAGAAGCAGCTGGCACTATCAATGTTTTGATGTAGAAAAGCTTTGTTGTGGTTGTTGTTGTGATGGGGATTGAACTCAGGGCCTTGAACACTTGAACATACTAGGCAATCACTCTACCACTGAGCTCAGTCCCCAAATCATGGAAAGACATTTTTCACTGGGTTTTCCATTCATACATTTCTTACAATAGAGGGTAAATATTGACACCTTTTTGGTCTTGCTGAAATTTTAAAAAGCAAGTTATTTGTTGAAGGATAACTCTCTATTTCTTTAAAGAAGAGCAAAAGACAAAAGGAAGTGTTTGGTCATTCAAAGTAAATAAATATAAAGTTTTTTTTTTTTTTTTTTTGTGTGTGTGTGTGTGTGGTGCTGGGGATTGAATCCAGAGCCTTGTGCATGCGAGACAAGCACTCTACCAACTGAGCTATATCCCCAGCCCCAGTATACAGTTTTTTATGCTCTTGGATTCTGCATGTTCAAGATTCAACCAACTATGGATTGAAAATATTGGGGAAAAAATGTGTCTGTTTTGAACATAAAAGGGCTTTTCTTCCTTGCTACTGTTCCCTAAGCATTGTAACAAAAAAAAAATGGGTAGAATTTACATTGTATTAGGTACTATAAGTAATCAAGGATGATTTAAAGCATATGGGAAGATGTGCTTAGGTTATATGCAAATATATATCCTATTTTACATAAGAGGGCTTACACACCTGCAGATTTTGGTATCTGCAGGGGATCTGGAACCAAACACCTTGCAGGTACCGAGGAGGACCATATACTTGATGGCTGACTTGAAAAGAGCTAATTAGAATCCAGAAGAGTGACAATTAATGCACATAGAATATTTCAAGCACCATGAAGAAGAAACTATAGCCTTAATCACTAAAGATGGTCTCTTCTGAGTACATGAAAAAGTAGAAATGGAGTGTGTGTGTGTGTGTGTGTGTGTGTGTGTAATGCTTGCAGACACCTTTTCATCAATCTTCCTGAATTAAGAGCAGTCTAGGAGATCATATTATAAAATTATATAAAACCTATCCCCTGAAAAGTTACTATTTGCCGTGGCTTCCTTTTGTTGTTGTTTGGTTGTGTTTCTAAAGTAATGCTCTGCTTTCCTGGAAAGTTTCTGGCCTACAGTGGGGAGGGTTGGGTTTGATTCCCATCTGATGAACAGCAGCTGTGAGAATCAAGTCATGTCCTTCGACCTCATCTGTAAAACAAAGCTCACTGTTCCTTCAACTTTCCTGATGATGGTAATAAGCTGAGGTGCTCATGTTTATTAAACCTACAACTTCCTAGGCTCTTTGCCTGAGATTCAGATTCAATGGGTCTTGGATGAGGCCACAGACTTTTTTTTTTATTTTTTATTAAGGGTGTTCCTAATGATTCTTATCCTCAGGGAAGTTAGAGAAATTAGATGTTCTGTATGGTCCTCTCAACTTGAAGAGTTCATGAAATGTTATTTTGACTCTATTGAGAGTATTAATATAATTTTGCAATTATCCAGTACCTCCCTTCATTGACAGCAAAATGACTAATCATCCTTGCACTATGCCTAGGAGATGATACATTTCTTAATGAAATGTTATAATTAAGCTCTCCTTTTGCTTTCATGGAAAAAAATACCATATAAAAATGATCATTAAATATCTGCAACCCTCTGCAAGAAGAGAGGCAAAATCCATGGTATCTGGGGGAGGAAGCTATTCATGCTTAGTTTATCCTAACTCTTATTGCTCTTTGATAAGGAGAGTTATACACATAGAGGAGAGTTTTATATATATAGCCATGCTGCTTTTCAGGTGGGCTCTATAACTGATCTGAATAAAAAGGGGCCTAATGATGCATGCCTGGCCTTTTGTTCTTTGTAGAAACCACATAAGAAGATAGGGAAGAAATAACAAAAGTTACTAATGACATAGCTACTACAGAACAAAGATCTAAAGACCCTGTTCTGGCCTCTAATAGGTTAGCTCAGTTCCTGAAAAGAAAGCAAAAGGGCTTATATCAATGAAAAATATAACCCATATTGCTATAGTTTGGTTAAGAAATGGGTTAGAGTGGGGCATTGTGCATTGCCTCTCAAAGCAGGATGAAGCTTGCTAAGCCAGAAAGTGAATTAGGAGGACTCCCCAGAAGGGAATAAAGTGGGAAGAGGAATGGCTTAGCAGAGATAATTATTTTAAGAACTTAAATCCACTGGGCACTGTGTATTTCTCAAAGATTTTGGTTCAAGTATCAAAGCAAATATTACAGAGCAGAGATCTTCACTTTTTATACTTTCTTTGACATTTCTTTTGATACTCAGACTGAAGTTAGATTTCTGGGTGGGAGTGAGAGTCACCTCCATCACTGTGTGATGTTTCCTATAGAGTCCAGGTCGATGCTGCACCTAATTCTAGGGTGCTGAGTGTTCAATGCTGCTGCTTGGTCTAATCTGGTAACACATGTGACTATTGAGCACTCAGAATATGGCTTTTTCAAGGTAAGTTGTGCTATTGGTGTAAAATAAACACTGATTTTGAACACATACTCTGAAAACATGTAAAATTTCTCATTAATAATTTTTATATTGACTTCATGTTGAAGTGCTAAGTATTTGAATAAAAGCAAAATTTATTTCATGTGTCTTACTTTTTCATGTGGTTACTGAAATTTTTAAAATTATATATATGGTTCTGAAAACAATTCAGTTGGATATGCTGATCTAACATTTTTTGTGATTCACATGTTTGTTATGATCATACAGCCAGTGGGAGGCAGTATAGTACAGTGGTTAAGAGCACGGGCTCCAAGCCAAACAGTTGGAACTCCTCAACCAGCTCTGGTGCTTAATTAGTGCAAGATGCAGCAAATTACTTATGTCTCCATGCCTCAGTTTCCTTGCCTATACAACAAAAGTACCTGCCTTGTGCGGTGAATGTAGTTTACATATATTAAGTGAATTAATACATGTAAAATATATGGAATGACAGCTTGCATTTGGTATTGGTAAGGGCTCCATAAGCTAGAGTTGCTCTTATATTACTAGTAGTAGTACTGATGTTATAGCAAATGCAGTCTTCTCCCTTTTCTTCCTCTAAACCACAAGGATCTGGATCCTCCACGCTGGAACCTACAGGTTCAACATCAGCAGTAGTTGGCACCTTCTAGCCAGGAAAGCTCTTCCACTCTCATTCCTTGACTGTGATGTGCTTTTAGGCTCTGAAAATTTCTACAGAGGTAAAAGATGAAGAAGTTCTGCCTGTGTCCACAAAAGCCCTGGCTTCACTGGCTCCTTTTTCCCATTTGCTTGGAGGATGTGGGAAGCATTAACCTCCCTTCCCCTTCCTAGGTGCTCATTTTGTCTCTTTTCTATCCAGACTTCCAATTGTCCTTCCAGATTTCCAGGTCTGAAAGCTGTGGGAGGGGAGGGACTTCTGATTTCCGGGGTGGGCTCTGCCCTCAGGGCGTCTGTAAGCACTAGGCCTACCCAGGAAATAGGGCATGTGTGAAGGAAGAGGCATCATTAGAGACATCAGGGGACTTGTGTGATGCCTCAGGGAGGTAATTTTTCCCCTTCACTTTCCCCACTACAAAAGCACAGAGATAAATACAATACTATAATAAAATGCATCAGGGAATCTGTGTGTGCTCTGAAGGATGGCGTGTTGATGTGCCACTCATATTGTGTGGAAGAATAAAGAATAGCCAACAGTTTTGTAATGAGGAAGCATTTATCAGCCGAAGGCATGTTTCTCTCTCTCTCTCTCTCTCTCTCTCTCTCTCTCTCTCTCTCTCTCTCTCTTTCTCTCTCTCTCTCTCTCTCACACACACACACACACGCACAACACATCAAACCAGTAAGATACAAAACCTTTGAATTAAAAACAGGGTCAGGGCCTGTTCTGGAAATTTATTTTTTGGGATGTGTGTTTCCAATAGAATTTATATCACACAGGATGGCTTTGATTTCAAGATAACCTCAAAAGCCACTGTCACAGTCACAAATAGAAGGTTAGGGGTGTAATTGGAGAATTTGACTTTATGAAATAGATAATGAGGAAGCAGGGTTTTTGTATTAGAAAGTAATTCATCCTTGTTTAGCGGGATTCACCTTAAGTTTACTTAACTGAACGATGCAAGCTGCATGTTGTGTATGCATTTCAAGGAAGGTGATTTACACGGGATTTTTCAAGAGCAAGTCTCCAGGAGCATTCTGCCTACCTGAGCTTCAAAATCAAGTTCACACTCATCCTCTCAAATGGTGATGACTTCTCTCTCTCCCTTTCCCTCAGCACAGCAATGTAGTATTTTTCTGATCATGTTTTCTTGATCGCATTATGATGTGTTGAACTTGCTTTCTGGTTATGATTGTATTGTTTTGGTTATTATGCTCTTAAGTGATACCAATTTGACCTTGGTTTCACATTTAGGACTAACTTAAATTCTGTCAGCACATTGACGAGCAAGCACAGACAGCAAATGAACCTCTGTCTTATTGCCTGGCCTGCTGCTGAGACCTGAACCAGAACTCAGGCTCTGAGATTTTTTTGTGGGGAAGAAGAGGTTGTGGACAAAGTCTGATGAGGTCTGATTTAATGCAGCTGTCATTTGTGCTGGAAAGATTTAGGGAGGGACACATTATTAATTGAAGAAAGAAAATGAGGCACCTGTGAGGATCTGAGAATGCAGCCAGGGGGTTTACGGCAGTTGCTCACAGAGACAGCTCAGGACCAGCTGTGTTAGGGTCATGTTGTAAAAATACAGCATCCTGAGCCACACACATGGAGCCTGCTGATATAGCCTTTTTTTTTTTTTAAACAAGCCTGCAGGTGAGTTTAGTACAAATGAAACTTTGGGAACAGTACCTTCTCCACTGCTTCCTTCTCTAACTAATATAAGCTTGGCTCTTCCCTTTGCTAAATGTGAATTTTCAAGTGTCCCCCAAGTCCCAAACTGACTCCATGAGGTGATGTGGATGAAATTCCACAGAAGCAATGGACTCTTTGGCACCCTTTATGGGTCACTTCTTTCCTTATTTGCTGCTTCTTGTCCTTGTTGATTCCGCATTATCATTCAGTGACTCATAGCTGTAAGTTAGATATTGCCACATGTTTTACATGCAATCCTCGACTTGGCTCTTAGAAGAAAGTACTATTATTTTATAGATGAGGAAATAGAGACTGGGGCAAGTATCTTTCAGAATGTTGAGCAACTAATTAAATGGTAGCAGGATTTGAACCATGGTCTGATTCAATCCATTTAAAATCCGATAGATTCTTCCCTGTTAGCTTTTCCAAAAGATAGACCTTTTGCTTATATTTCATTTCATCAGTTTATCTTTCTACCATTCAGCAGTCAGCTTTCAGGGAGATGATGATTGGTGTAAATACAAGTCATTGTGTTATCTGGTTTTCATAAAAGATACTGGAACACAACAAACCTTTTAATAGGTGTCTTTCATTCTTTGGGAAAGTAGAGACACTTCATCTAAAATTGAATGTTTTTCCTGGCAAACCGCCTAAAGTGACCTTCTGGACATTTCTCCCCATGTAGAATATCACTTACCATTGACAATGGGGTGCAAGCCACTCACCTTTTTCGTTGATGCTGTGAATGATGGTTTTCCCCTCATTATCTGTAGTTATTAGGAATGTAATAAGACATTCATTTTCTCCTTGCAGAGAGCAGGAAACAGAACTATCCTTTGAGAAATCTGCAGATAAAGAAGTCATTCATTAGGTTAAATGAGATTCCAAAGAGATTATTTATAAAGCAAAATAGTATTGAGTTTTAATATGCAAATGAGGATTTTCAATATTGCAGAATGAAAACTGAAAAGGCACAGGATTTTTTCCCACCAAGGGAGATTTTCATTTTTATTCATGTTCCACAAGAACAGCTCCAGATGTGGTCAATCAGGACTGACCATCAAATGTACCTATCAAACTGACACAGGCAGGATTTCAATGGAGTGAAAGAACTGCAAGGCAGGTGCCCACAGCTGTCTTGGGAATAGAATGGCCCTGATTATGGTAATGAGGGGGCTATATGTTCCTCTTTGCTGAGAGCATCTGGGAGGATGTCTAGATTACATTGGTGCACAGTCCAAATGGATACTGATACTTTTAAGGGGGCCTTCCTCACAATGGTGTAGTCAAGCTTGCTGGCCAAGTATTGTCACAACAGTAAAAATAAATTAATATTAGGAAACAGAGACTGCAGTGTTAGGTAGCTCAGGGTCCAACAGGATAAAGGTAAACTAAAGATTTAAAGGAACCCAGAATGACAGTATATTGTATCACAACAGAAATTGAAAATAAAGTAAAAGGCTAATCTTCAATCTGTTTATTACAAATTTTAGTGGTTCAGCTCCTCTGCCAAGATGTAGCCTTTTCTGAATTAAAAATAAAGCAAAAACAACAACAACAAACCCTAAAGTTGCCTTATAGTTACCCTACCTTCTAAATCGGAGACTTTTCAATGATACTATTACAAATACTGTTTTTCAGAAACCTGAAGTAGAATGAGCATTTGCTCTTAACCCAAACTTCTGGGACATATGGTTAGATATTAGTGTGTTTGACACAATGGGTCAGAATATTAAAATTGAGACTACTCCAAATAATCTTGGACACATTTATAACTTCTCTCATTAGCTTAAAAACAACGAGGTGTTAATGAAACAGAATCTGCCTATGTTTCCCTGCTCCTTACAAAGAAAAATAATAGCCCATTGGGGTACAAAATTGCTACAGCTATGGAAAGATAGAAATATAGGTCATTGTTTGTTGTCTTTCCATGTAATTTGTAAGATAAGAACCTGGCAAAGTCTGTGAGAAGTGTGCCTTGTATTATTCATGAAAACAGGACTGGTAAACATTTAGCATTATAATTAAGATTTTAGACAAGAGATTGAAGAGAATAAACTATTTTTAAATTCATTGAAAACATTATTTACATAGGAATATGAAGAAATCTAATTACAAGCCATTCTAGCTTGGTCATTTCCAAATGTTTATGACTGTCTAAATCACCTGGGGTTTTTGAAAAGATGGATTCTGAGGACTTGCCCCCCGGGTGGGGGGTATGCACAGGGCTGCATGTGAAGGGCTGGTATACACATGGGCACTTGGACTTTGAGTGTGTGGTTTAATAAGCAGCTTAATGAGATGATTCTGATTAGAAGGTTTGGGAACCTCTGGGCAACATGTGATTAGTGAAATCTGTGTTTGACTGCAAATGACACTGCATATACAATTCATACTTCGATCACTTTGAGGGTCTTCACCCACAGCTGCCTACCTCATCCCTCCAATCACCTGGGATTCCTAAAGTCTCCAGGAACGTGTTTTTTCTTAGTGCCATGTTTTCTTCCTTCCCTCTGTGCCCTGACCGTGCGGGCCGACCCTGCTCCCTTGAATACACTTAATGAAACATTTTGTTCTCAGGTAGGAAATGTGTGGGATGGCTTATCATACCCATTTCAGTAATATTAATCCTGCTTTTTTATTTTCTTTTAAATAGCTCCACTGAAGCACAGGGAGGCTTATTTTCCTTGACCAGGATTACTTCAGTTTTAATGGAACTGCCAGTATGACCTTTGAGTCACAACTCCCATCTTGCTTTAATTACTTCACCACTCCTTTTCCTAACTGTTATGGCTCTAGACGTAGCCTTATTTGTAGTGTTTGGGTATTGAGAAAGTATTATCAAATGTGCAATGAAAGATTTGCATAATTAGCTGTTAAAGTTTTCTTTTGTTGTTCATAAAAAATGGCCCTTTCTTTTTTTACTCTCCTTTGTGAGTGCCCACATGGCTGCTCTAGAATAATACAGTGAAAATGTAATCTCCTGGTGGCCCATGAAATCATTCTCAGAGAAGAAAGAAATGTGAGAATGGGAATGATGAGGTTGGGGCTAGAAGGTCCAAGAAGGATGTGGAAATGGAAACTGTCTGTTCCACTGAGGCAAGACAACCACGTGCTTTAAGCCCTCGGCTTTGGAATCAGTTAGCAATTCTCAGTGGAAACAGTTTCTCAAGGGAAAAAAATGCGGTTCTGTGGTCAAACATGTTTAGGAATCCCTCCCTTTGTCCCTCCTGGTGATTCACACACATATTTAATTTAATGTGCACAACAACTCTCAAAAGTCTGGCAAAAAAGGGAAAAAATTTAATTTCCCATCTCTAACATTTATACGACCATGGGTGCTTTTCTCCATTGAATGCTTTCAGAACTGGTGTTCCAAGAAACACTCTATGAGTACATGGATATTGGGGTAAATTAACATGACTCAGTAAAAGGAAGAGTGAGATTAAATCACATGTTCTTAGATGTGCCTGCCCAAGTCACTGACAGCACAATTTAGGACCAATTTACACACTTAGTAAAGTTATGCTTATTTTATTTTATTCTCCATGTCCTAGTGGGGGAAAGATGGGTTGCTAAAAGTCCCTGTGAAAGAGCAAATATGATGTGATCCGTTCAAGGAGGTGTGAGCAATAACAAAACTGGTTCATTCAAAACATGGCTTATAAAAAAGGCTCATTGGTAAAGTGGCTCTTAAATTTACAGTCTGACAAATACCTTTTTTTCTCTCAAGTCCATCCAGATTAAATGGTATTAATAATCCAATTATTATTTTCAACCCCCAAGTTGGAAATACCTGAATCCCCCTCTCTTGAAGATAACTGGGCCAAATACACAAAAAGAATAATGTAAATATTATAAATGCCTTGCAAGACTGGCCTTCCTCTGAAATCTAAGCATTTGACAATCTACTCAGAAAACTGTGTACTTAACATAGTAACGACCCTGTGGAAGCCATTATGATTTACATGTTTCTAAGGCTCTATCCCTTTTTCCTTCAGCACATTTGATTTCCCATGTTGCTAGTGAATTCAGTTCTAGTCATTTGTAGGCATTTTCTGCAATTTTTGCTCATTTCTAAGAGACATCTGGTAAATATTCCCACTGTTTGCTGTGAAATGAACCTAGAAGGAAATGCTGAGACTCAGTACTAGTTACTAATGTGGACAGCCCACAAATGCTGCTTCGCTCAGTGCTTTAATGTAATCTTAAGTTTGGTAGTCGTTTAAGGTACACACCATCTTGTCCCATTTACTGCTATTTGGCATGTTTATCTTTGGTCACCAGAAAAGCACTGATGAGGGGTCTTATGAGCACTAATCACATCCCTGCACATAGGATAATTCAACTGTGCAGTCAGAACTCTCAATTTTGAAACAAGGCAAGTAATTTTCAAAAGAATATAAATGTCATTATATTATTCCATTTTGGAAATGGACTAATTTCCGTATTCTAATTCCATCTATTCAAAATACATATCCTACAGTGTCATAAATTATTGTCTTGATTATTTCCCTTCACCTGAGATAGATCTTGGTCACATTGCTATTGCATGCAGAGTAGCAATTCTACCTGAGCAGCATGATAATGCAGGGTTGTGATGATACAAAACTAAATTCTCCTAGATTGTCCCTTTAGGCAGAATCAGTCATCTTCTTTGTTTTAAAGTCCACAAATTATTTTTTAAAATGGCCTTCCTAGCTAAAATGCAATTGATTGAAATATTTGCCATTATGAAGAATCTTATTATAAGTAACTGTATTTAAAATAACAGATGAAAGCAAGAGTACAATTTGCTTAGCAGTTACAGATGACAGGAACTTCTGAATTTTGGGGGTGGGGAAAAGGAAATTAAGGGTGTACCATGTGTGGGGGAGGGGAAGTGAACGCTTTTGAGAGGAGGAGGAAAAATGGCCATTGACCAGAACCTGCCCAGCATCTGGGAGCTACAATCGGGAAAACTGTTTTACTGCTGCCTTTATCTTATCTTGAAATAAGGCAATCAGATGATTGAGGACAATTTATGGTTTGGGGGCTTAACATTTGGTCATTTCTTCAATTTTCTTCCTTTCTAGTTTGGAAAATATAGCATTCTGGAATTCTCCACAATGGCATTTTTTAAGCAGAAGTGAAATGCTGACACTCTTAACGATAGAGCTGAAGTCCAATAAAACAGCCATGACTTTAAATTGGGATTTTAAATCCCAAGCCACGGAGTTTTTAGCCTTATAGAATGCACTCACTTTTAAACAAAGAATGGAAGTGATCTAATGCCCTGGTACAAATGGGGTCAGGCCAGAAAGGCTCTTGATTTACAGCGTTTCTGCCTCTGGAGAACCATGCAAAGGAAATGAAAGCCATTTAAGACAAGCAGCACCTTCCTCCTCACTGATAGTTGTGCCCGCTAGTTTGCATTTGTCCACACAATCTTCTTGGGCCTTGGAATCTGCAGACAGGTGGCACTCGATGCAGCTCCTGCAGACAGACAGAATTAACAGAATTTATCAGTTCATGTTGGTGGAAATAGATGTGTAGCTAGAATATTGCTTTATGCTCTGGTTGTAGATTATGCTACAAGAGTATCTTTCTAATGACACTGGCCTTTTGTCACTTTTGGAAAGATAGTTAGGCAATGTCCAAGAGGATGCTGAATTATTCTGAATTCCACCCAGTAATCAATGTTCCCTGAGCCAGCCCTGATAATTGCTGCTATACTCATTTTTCTGTAGCGATTGCTTCCGATTGATATTTTATTTAGCTATATGTTCATTTTACTTTTTCCAGGGAAAGCTTACATTTATAAATATGATTAGAGACTAGGCAAAGTTCTGAATTTAATCTATATCTTAACCAGAATCCCAAGAATGATTCGTGGTCTTCATATATGCCACATATGATTATTTTAATAATTCTCTCTTCTGTTATGCTTTTAAATAAATTCAAGTGTCGATAGGAATATTTTTAAAAGCTTAGGATTAAGCCTGGATCCTCATTAATTCAAGCTTTTTAATAAAAGATTGCATTAATTTACAGAAAAGTGTATTTGCAAGGACATAAGGAAATTAAGCTACCTTAAAGATGTCTAAGGAACAAAGTAAAATTAGACCCTGAATTAATCTTGTGCTGCAAATCATTTTGCAAATAGATGGTGCTTGGAGTAACCCAAAACAACAAAAGTTTTCTCACTGTGGGGATACATGGTGCTGCATCCTTCCCCCTAGACATGGAAATGTGCTTGGCAAGCTCAGCTGAAGCTGCATCTCCTCAACCAAACCTTCCTAACATTAGTCTAGAAAGTTCCCTTGTAGTGGGGGGACTAGAACTCCGCTACAGAAAAACTTAGGAGTGGTAACGTATCTGGAGTGGGGCTATAAATCTTGTTGTGAAGTCGCTTTTGCTCTGCAAGTATATTGCATTTTCCTAGATTACGTATTTATTTGGAGTGGCTTGGTGAGGGTCTGGGGGAGATGGTGGAAGCCCTTAAAGTCTCCTTTGTGCATCTCACTGATGACTGCACCAGCTGGACCGATGCCCCTCCCCGCTGCCAGCACCTTCTATATCCCCTCCTGAAACTGGCAACCCAGACATCACCGTCATTACTTTAAAAACCTCTATCTTGCCCACTGGACTCTCAGCACCTGTGAAGGTAGAAACTATAACTGTTTCAGTCTTTCCTGCATGCCCATGGCTTAACACTATTCTTGGCATACAGTAGGCACTTAATATCTATTTGATAAGCGAACACACACCGGATAAATGGAAGAATAGACTCATCTAACGTAAACATCAAGATCACTCTGATTCCCAAATTGGAACTACTTGAGTATGAATTTCATATCTTCCAAGTCAGATTTAAGATTGAACCATGTTTACAGAGGAGATGAAATAGAAAAATAATGAAAGGAACATCATGAAGGGACACTTTACATTGGATCCTATTCAAATAATTCTGCTCATGCACCCATGCTTTTGACACTTGTCTTAGTTTTCCAGGGATACTGACAGAGAAGTTTTGACACCTAAATGGTGAGTTATCAATGAGTAAAAAATTTATTTTCTCACTCCATTTTCATTGGATATGCAAATGTCACCATTTTGGAGTATCAGAAGTAGTGACAATGAACCTCTTAAGAAACACCCTAACAGCCTTCTGGGAAACTTGCTTCACTTGACTGACAAATTTTGCCCCAATTCCATGAAGAAGGTAGTTGCTAACCAAAGAAACAGTTTTCTTACTCGAAAATAAGAAAATGTTCTTATAGTCTTAAAAAAATACAATACACAATAGCTACCTACAATGACAATGACAAAAAGGTGCCAAAGAGCATGGGCGATAAGAGGCAGAATGGAAAGCTAAGCTCTTCTTTCTCGGCCTCTTTGCCTCCATGATTCTGATGATAGGAAGAATCCCACAAGGTCAGGCTATAAACTTCTAGATAAGAAAGAAGCTTGTCTGTTTCCCCTGAAAAGGTACTGACTGCCTGTGGGTGTCAGCAGGATGCCTCCAGGGCTTTCCTTCTGTGTGGCTGGTATTGTAACTGAGAGGCCATCAGATGTTATCAGTGTGGGACATCAGCTCCACTTCCCCCTGCTGTCTCAGGCAGAAATGTTGACTTTGTGATTCTGGATAATCAGGGCCGAGAAAGCCTCCAGCCAGAGACTGACTGTTATTCCAGGCTGAGGATCACAGGGGCCCTGTGGGTTTTTGTTTCGATGGATGCCTGGAGACCAAACCCGGCAAAGACAATCTGAGGTCCGAGTTGACAAAATATCTTTAGAACTTTGATCGTGAGGAACGTTTTCCACAAAAGGGACTAAAGCAATAGAGACATTACCGCTTTGAGTTACAGGGGTCACCGCAGGTAGGACATCGTTCACAGGTGGGACCCGAGGCTCCGGGGTTTGTGCAAACACACTTGCCGCAAACGCAGTCCCCGCGCCCGCTGCACAGCACTCCGTCTTCAGAGACACACGAGTCTGTGCTGGTTGTGCAGTTACAGTATTCGCCAGTCCATCCGGTCCTGCACACGCACTCTCCACAGTCGCAGTCTCCGTTATCTGTAAAACACGCATTCGGTTCTCTGCTGCCCATGGTCAAAGCCATCTGTAGGCTTGCAGGGAAGGGCATCTTTTCTCTTTGTCTTTAAATACTAGCAAAAAGACTGAAGAACAAAATGAGAAAAAAAGTGTGTGTGTGTGTGTGTGTGTGTGTGTAAGTGTAGACATTTTATTAATATGTTTTGCTAACTGCATATGCTTATTGATCTGGTCTCCTAACTGACGATCCACTTGATTACCTGATGTTATAGCAGACAGAATTAATAATCCAGACAAACCTATACCAGCTACTTGGTGCACATGAGTACATATGTATATATACTTAATTGTTATTTTGATTTTTTTGCCTCTAATTAATATGACATAAGATGGAGATGCAAGACAGGTTTGAATGAATGCCCACCCCTCTACATCATCAAGCTGATTGATCATGAAAGCCTCACCTAAAAAACAGAGGGAACAAAATCTACTTCCAATGGTTTTGGTAGGATGAGATACAGTGTGAATCTCCTACTTCTGCATTCACCAGTTAGCTGTCCCATGGGCATAGAATGAGAATTGGACAAATTCAATGTGTATAACAAACTTTGAGCATATACTATGTGCCAAAGGTTATATTACGCCTGAGGATAGAGAATTAAATAAGACAAAGTCACTGAATTTATAATTTAGTGCAGGAGGCAGGCAAATAAATACTACTATTACTAAATACAATACAGTGTGATAAGTCTATGGACAGAGGGCAAAAGTTTCCCAATTAAACTGGAAATTTAGGAAAGTTTCCAAAGGAAGTGATACCTGGACTGAGTTTGGAAGGTAGAAGATTAAAGAAGAGTTTTAGCTACATTTCAGGCAAAGAAAAAGATAGGCAAATGCTGAAAGTGTAGAATCATGTGGCTTGCTTAACAACCGTAGCAGTCTCATATGGCAGGAGCCAACGCTGCTTGTAGGATGTGATAGAGGGAAGGATGGAAAGGTCAACAAAATGCCAGAAGTCAGATCGTGAGATGGCTGAGCACCACAGTAAGAGCTTTGATCCTGGAAGTTATGAAATTTTAAGAAGGGTAGAGCCCTGAACAGATTGACATGTGTCTAGATATATCCTGCCATCAGTAGAGACTCAAACCAGGGCAGAAAAACCATTTGAGAGGACTTCCATGAACAGAGGCCTGAACAACAATGATAGTGTCAGTGGGAAGAGTGAGAGCTGCTGTGCTCAGGGTAAGGTGCGAAAGTACCAGGAGCAGTGTAAGGAGAACCAGAGAGGAACGGCATCCTCCCCAGGTGACCAGGCTGGCAAGTGATGTGGCTCTCCACTGACCTGGAAGGGAAGCCAGCTCATGGTCACTGCTGTGTCCCAACACCTGGCACATGGAGGTGCTTCATTATGTAATGAATAATTGGATCTAAAGCGGAAGAGGAAAAAGAGCTCTGGGTCTGTTGAGTTTGAGGGGCCTGAAGGACATCCTTAAAGGTGGCTGAATATGAGCCTGAAGTTTGGGGTTGGGCATCCATGAGGGAAAGGCAGTGGTCGAGGCCACTGTGAACCAGGTTATCTAGGGAGAGCAGGGAGAGTGAGAAAAGCTCTGGAGAGCATTGACATTTAAAAGGCCATCAGAGGAGAGACTGAGGGAGCAGGAGCAAGGTGGCTGCAGAAGCCTGGGGCAGACACAATTCCAAGGATGAGGCACACGGAAACCAGCTGTGGACAAATGTCTCATCTAATCTTGCAAGTCCCTTATAGATCTGGCCACATAAAAGTATATGAAATACTCTGAGATGATAAATGTGTTTAAGATAATGGTGTGTGTCCACTCCTTACATTTTGGGGTGCCTGCCACGCCCAGTATACTAAAATAGGCATTTGATATTCCAAACAAATAACATTTATTTACAAAGTCTCCTAACTGATACTTTCTTCAGAAGTAAAAACTGTGCACTCAGGCATTTTGCCTCACAAGTTTTGATCTTCCAGCAAAACTTAGTATTACCTAAGATGGTGTCTAACAGTGTTTATAACAGTGCCTGGCCCATCACTAAGCACTACATAAGTGCTAGTTATTAGCGTTATTCCTTAAAACTATCCAGTAGCAAGAACCTGTAAGCAAAAGTATTCATCAGTATTAAAACTCTTATACCTTTACTGAAAACAAAGTAGATGTAAAAAAAATAAAAATCACACGTGAAACATGCTTCTACTTGTAAGAGGCACTGCCAAGTTCACTGTGGAGTTAGGGATCCTTGCAAACTTTACTGTTGCAGCTGATTACTTTTCTCTCCTCATGACTGAGCCTAAGGGATTGAGAGTAGGAGAGTCCTCGGCTTAATGCTCTGCCCAGTCAAAATCATACACACAAAGATAACCACAAAGGTTTTGAAATTGGGTTCCTGGTGTGTGTGTGTGTGTGTGTGTTATATGTTTATACATGCATATATTATATATATATACATATATACATGTACAGATACATTATAGATACATATACATACATATATATACACACACTATACATACATATTATATATATGGCATTAGAGAAAATACTTCCTGCCATTATTCACTTACAGTTGTTGCTCAATGGCTTTCTAGAAGAATATAGCTCTCTAAAAAGATCTTGGTGATTTTCTGGATCTTTAGTTATCATCTTGCCTCTATATGAAACTTCTATAGGAAGGTGTTGCTGCTGTAGGAACAGGTACATTCATATTCTATATGTATGTGTGTGTGTGTGTATATATATATATATATATATATATATATATATATATATATATAGTATCTGTGTGTATGTTAACTTGTTCTTGCTCTCTCTCTCTCTCTCTACATATACTAAGGAGGGCACACTCCTCTAACAAAAGATGATTTAAAATTTATCTGGATCTATGACATTAAGACATTCCAACTGTATCTCATAACCTATGCAATTCATAATTGAGCCAATTAACTCAAAGCTAAGAATAATTAAGTAATTTGAGCCAATTTAAGTTTCATATGTAAGTGATCTTCAGAATTATAATACTTTTTGATTTCTTCCTTAGCAAAAGGGGAAACTTACATTCACAATGGGGAGAAATTTTGAAATTACAATTTAATCTGAATAATTAATATAATCTATACATATTACAAAATGAAATGTGCATTTCCAAATGTTTCAAGAATGCTCAAGAGTATTATATATGTAAGAATTACTTAGCAGAAATTTAGAAAACCCATTCTGGAGCAGGAAAAAAGAACCATCACAGCAAAAACAAAGCACTCCTTTCAAATTTAGAAACCTTCCTTTCTGCTGACCTTCCAGAACCATCAGCCTGGTCACTGAAGTTGCTAATTGATATCCAAGCAACCAATTATTTAACGCACCTGTTCATGCAGCAACAACAGTGGCAACACCTTCCTATAGAAGTTTCATATAGAAGCAAGATGATAACTAAAGATTCAGAAAAATCACCAAGATCTCTTTAGAGAGCTAGATTCTTCTGGAAAGCCATTGACAAACAAGTATAAGTGAATAATGGCAGGAAGTATTTTCTCTAATGCCATTTTCCTGTTACTGCTTCCAGTCTCTTAAAAATCAAAATATAAGAGACTAATGGAATTTGGGCAAGAAAAATAAATCAATGGAGCCCTGTATGCCTGAGTGCTTGCAGATGGACGAAAGAAGTTGCATGAAAAGGAACATTGTGATAATAGCCCTTCAGAAAAGGAGCACATTGCCAAGTGTATTAGTGGTAAAATAAGTGAGATCAGCCCAAGTTGTGAGGCTGGGGCATATATGGTCTGCTTTGAAAATATCAGCAGCAGCAACAGCAGCAGCAGTGTCTCCTCAGAGCAGGGATTTTTATCCCTTCTCTAAGCACAGTGCCAGGCACATAGTAGATACTCCAAAACTACTTGGTAAACTTGAAGAATTGTACTTACTTTTTTTTTTTTTGAGGGGGGGATTGTACCAGGGATTGAACTCAGGGGCACTCAGTCACTGAGTCACATCCCCAGCCCTATTTTGTATTTTACTTAGAGACAGGGTCTCACTGAGTTGCTTTTGCTGAGTTGCCTTGCTTTTGCTGAGGCTAGCTTTGAGCTTGCTATCCTCCTGCCTCAGCCTCCTGAGCTGCTGGGATTACAGGTGTGCACCAGAGCACTTGGCTGTATTTACTTTCATTAGACATTTAAAAGAGAAAGTTACTATTCATCTTTTGTGATGTTACTAATCAACAAAATAGCTTCATAGAAACAGTTGTGGCTGAGGATCATAATGTACTCCAGAGGATGAAGGAAATGAACATCGGTGAAATTTCCTGAGCTTAGCTGAAGAAATCATTGTATTTTTCTTTAAAGAGAATTTCTTTAGCAACTGCTGTATCTGATTTAAAAAAAAAAGTTGCTATTGTCAGATCTTCGTAACTACAACGAACAGAGCAGGTCAACTCTTTTTGCGTTTATTCCCTTTTTCCCTGTATATAAAATAAGATGAAAGGCAGTCAGGGAGCGCAGTGCTGCAGAGCACATGAGCAATTTATGCTGTTTTGGATTCCTTAGATCCAGGACTTTAAGGGTGATGTACAGCTGGTGTTAGTATAGCTATTAGATTATATTACATTTAGCATTTTTTGGAAAGTAATTGTAAATATTTTAAATGTGTATATATTTTTTTAAAGACTTGTATTAGAAATGCAGTGTGGAATTCTGTCAGATATATTCTTTCTATGATGTGGTGACAGCCTTTGGGTAGCTTCTTTTTGCTTCCAGGTTGTGTCCTGTCTGCATCAAGTGAAGACAGTTTATGGACTTGGAAGCACACCCATAAAATCCGGAAATAAGGGGCTGGGATGTAGCTCAGTGGTGAAGTGCTTGCCTCAAATGCTCAAAGTCCTGGGTTTGACAGTACCCCTGCCCTTTTATCCTGTGCCAAAAAAGGAAAGACAAAAATAAGCTTAGGAAACAAATTTTCCGAGTTTTTCATTCTGTATTGTGGACAGGGATGAGAGAAAGTGGATTTTCTCAGAAGATCCCATTTGTAGCCATAGCTGCAGCAGAGAAATGAAAGGTAGTGGATTCCTAGGGGTATCAAATGATATTCAAAAAGCTTGGAATTCTCTGTGGCTTCCTTTCTTTCAGGTTTTTTTCCTCCCTGAAAATTGGTCTCTTTTATATGTTCCTAATGCTATAGTTTGAAAACACAACTTGCCTAGTTTTCTGTAGAGATAATGGCTGTCTGTTTTGAAGAGCCATTTGCTTACATACTGTGAAAAACTCAAGACATTAGAGCTTACATTCAACCGTCAGTTAAGATCCCATTTGTAGTAGAAATTTATATTATTTTAAAATATATTAAGATATTTGTAATTCTTGCCTGCATAGACCATTCTTAAATACATGTGTATAAATATCAGAATGATTTTATAATAGTCAGGCAATGAATTCTTAAACTCTAGTTACTTTACATCTATAAATAATATTAACATGTAAATATTTCTATTTTAAACTTTTCTTCATTTCTTAAGAAATTTCCTATTTTCATCCTTTCCATAGGCTTCTCATTTATGTTCTTACTCATTGTTATTAGACCTATCGCCTAACCTAATACATATCATATAGTAGGTACTCAATAGAAATCTATGGAATGAGTGGAGGCTATGAGAGTCCATTTAGTGTCCTTGTGCTCCTTGTCCTTGGAAGCATGCCCCTTTAGCAGTCTAATTTTTATTTTCGCAAAGCAATAGGCATTTAAGAGTTGGGTCACACCCATCAGCTTGGTCCAGAAAATTCTGGAAGATAATGGAATTCAGATCACCAGGCAATTTTGAGGAGCCTGGGTGATAACTACAGATTAGAAAAAGCCAGAAGAAAAATGGGAGAGAAGATTCAATAATCCTAAATCTAAAGATTAACCCACCAAGTTGATCATTAAATATTTATAAACACCCACTATGCCCAGGAAACTTTGAAGGTGGAAAAGATGCAAAGCCCCTTCCTGATATTTGAATAGCAGTGAGATGTCTTTAGATGTGGCCTACCTCCACAGAGCAGCCCTTTGTGTCTCACGCAGGAGAAATTGTCACACTGGCAGTAAGGTCCATAAATGTTTCCATAGGGAGACAAGTGGCAGATGCACTGCCCACAGTAGCAGTCGCCCCTTCCACTGCATGAGGGGTGATCGGGGGCCTCCTTGCAGGAATCTGTGCTCAGGATGTCCTCGCCACACTCGCAGTGAGGGCCCATGTGGCCAGGGTTGCAGGCACACACCCCACACTGGAAGGAGCCGTTTCCATTGTGGCATTTGGAGCTGTTCACTTCCACTTCTTTCTGACAGTCACAGTGGCACTCCGGACTGATGAGTATTTCCAGGGTGTCCCCCAGCCCCACGGGCTTTATGATAATGTGCCTGCTTCTCTCACAGTTGGGTATGCTCACAGTCACATTGAATGAAGCCTGGAAAAGAAAATACCAATTATCTACTTCCTCCGTCCACCAACCTGCAGGAGGTGAAACAAGTCCGTGCGGAAATCAGCTTTGCCAAAAGCGTTTATTAGGAAATCTTTGAAATTATTGAAAGGAGCCCAGCTCCAGTAAGCTAAGCTAACCTCTGACCCATCTGAATATTTTTTCATACAGCTGAATTGTCCATCTACTTACTATGTCTCCCACCTTCATGTGCAAGCATTTCTTTTGGTGTGGGAAGAGGGTGCCATTGTTACAGATAGCTGTGAAGGACAGGTTGAGTCCTTCAGTGTCTCCTAATACCTCCAGTTCCACCTCAGACCGCAGTTCCTTGAATTAAGACATAAAGGGTTAAATAAGTCACAACAGAAAGTACAACCAGAAGAGGAAACCGAGTCATTAAACTATAAATGAATAAAATTAAATTGGATCTAAAAGAAATTTACCATATAATTAATCAAGCAAGGAAATGACAATCAATATTGAATTTAAGACACCATTAATCATAAGATATGCTATTATCACATGATAAACTATGATAAAAATAACTCATGTGGTTCTGCACAACCTATGATAGTCATTAGTCTATCAATGCTCCGAAAATAATTCCATCCATTCTGAAGCATTTAGCAAATTCTCCTGCGTTGCATAGTTTCGCATATAAAAGACAATTTTTTTTGCTTGTATCTTGATAATAAAATATAATAACAGTTTCCTTTACTTGTAAGTGCCTTCATTTCTTAGGTCCCATAAAGTAGCTGTGTTTGTCGATTTGTAAGAAATTCAGCCATTCCTCCAACGAGAAATACTTGCTTCACTGATATCAAATTTACACCCTGCTGCTCTGTTTTGGTACATTTATGCATACATAATAACTTTCATCTCAATATCAACTCATAGGACAAAGTTTTCAAAGATATTTAAAATGGCAATTAAACTTAGCACTTACATAGCCACAATGCATTCTAGGAGTTGAAGTGACAATGATCACAACTGTCAATAAAACCATGTCATGACTTCCACCTGGCATGCAGTGGTTGTAAGGCACCATTAATTAACAAATCGATCCAAGATTTAGAGGTGGCAAAATGTAGGGGAAACTGCCTTAAAGTCATTATTAGAATTAATTGAGTGCCTATTGTACATTTAATGTAGAGTCAAGTCTAGGATGAGACGGGATTTCTGTTCTCAGAAGCTTATCATTTTACTTTTTCTATTTCTTATAAACTTACAACATCAATGTACATATTTTGAGGGATAAAACCAAATTATTAAAGATAAAAAACAGAATAAAAATAAATTTAAAAATATTATGAATTAAGTTAAACTTCAATTCATCTAAAAGGTTTTGAGTTCATATACCCATTTCATTGATAGCATTTTATAAGCATATTTAGCTTCAAACTTAATTTTGCTAACTTCAGAGTCAGATGACCCTGCCTTCTCCAAATTCTGTTTATTTTGAAATCATCAAGAATTATGACAAAAGTAGCATTGGAGATAGTGGCATAGTGAATCTCCAGGAGCTAAATGAGATATGAGGGATATGTCTATAGGTGACATCCATAATGAGGATCAGTAAGTGACATCATCTGACCTAACTGAAGGAAGTCTCAGCATTGATATGATTGAGAATCATTGCAAATTTGACCAGGAATATTTTAGTGTAAATTTCCCAAGGAAAGGGCATACATGTTAATTTGTATCTTTTATTATTTCATTCATTTGCTGATTGAACATCTCCTAGGAGCCAGGACAACCAAAATAAACCAGTGGATTCCTTCCCAGAGTTTAAATTCCAGTAGAGGAGCTTGTCCTTGGGATCACTGGTATTTCAGGAGCCTTTATTATGTAGTTGGGGAAGGGAGGAAATTAGCACGAGATAGGAAGATGAATATACACCCAGTATTTAAAATTTTAAAAAATATCAATATGGCACCATAAAATACTCAGCTAATGTTTGTAGCCACAAACTATAAACACATCTGCCTCTGCCCTATAAGAAGTCAAACAGATGGATTTTATGTTTTCTCTCAATATAGTCTTTCCTTTTTTTATAGACTGAAAAAGAAATTCAGTCTGTAGGTCTCTATATTTTAAAGTTTTTTTTTAGAATACATTTGAAAATAACATAGTAGAAAAATAATTTATGCTTTTGTCATGATTGATCACATACTTCATTCACCCTGAATCATAAAGTTCCAATAACTCTAGACCAAGATTGTTTAGTAGAAGAATAATGGATACTTACTGATATTTTGGGGAGAGTAAAATGAGGACACAGATTCAATTCAAATGCTTAATGCCTTGAGTTCAACTACACTGTAACTTATGTGGTGACTTGGGACCATAAAGTGGGATGTAACCTCTGGCAGAGCAAGCAGGGGCATGGATAGACTCGTCAATCGGGAGGGGGAAATATTTTTGACTATTCATTGTTTTCTAATTTGCTTGATTTCTTTGGAGATGTTAGTGCCAACACTTTGGAAAGTATTGGGTTAAAGAAAACAGAGAATGCTATAATCCAGTGAAGGATTGCTTTGTAATTTTATTTGATTCTACACATTAAAACTTTAATTACTGCATGAGAGGGAGGAAGGTTTTTATAGTGTTTTGTTGATGTGCTTTCCTGTCTGGAAGAATTTCAAGCATGAGCTAATGTGGTGATTAATTTTTGATGTGAGCTAAGAAAACAGAAATTTCTGAGGATCATCAGTGAGAAAAACCCCATCCTCTTAGAATTTAAATGGACACATCTTTATTTTATTCTCTGGGGAAATGAAATATTTGAAAAGGAATTTGTTGCTTCCTTCCCCTTCAAGTGAGTTTCAAAATTGGTGGGGTGATATGGAGGGTTTTTTTTTTTTTTCAGAAAAATCATTTTGGAGGTTTTTGTTTTTCAAAATGTGTAGCTTCCACCTTCCCTTCAAATTCTTCAAAGTTAGAAACAAAGGAATCTGAGAATGCCTGCTTTTTAAAAATCTTCTCAAATGATCCTGATATGTCATTTAGTTAGGGAACACTGGTTCAGTATATGCTGAGTATTGTATACTCACTAGGGTCATTTATTTGCAATTTTAAAACATCCAAAAATAGGAGAATTTTATTCATTCATTATTATGGAAACGCTGCTTAAAGCAAATGCTGGAGCTTTACTGCTTCCTAAAAATTTACTTTTTCTATGCCCCATCCTAATTTAGAGCTTCATCTACCTCTTTGTGGGTTTTTTTTTTTTTTTTGACATTAAAGGCAAATAAAGGGGAATGATATTTAGGAACCAAAATAAAGAAGATTTGGCAACTGTCCATGGTTGACTGAGTTAGAAAATGGGGGCAAAGAAGGAAAACAATAACCCTGTAGGTATATATCTCATTTTAAGGGAAGAATTCTGTCCTCAGTACTAACTCACCATCAAGGCACACACACACAAAAACAATTACCTACATACTTGTTAAACCAATGGAAATTTCCCTGGTTCACTAAAGTTGAGAGCCTTGAACGTGGCATGCTGGTGTGCTTTTGGTATTTTGGTGTGTAGCCAAGAGTCTGTATTCTTGCTTGAATTAATGATCTTATCTCATTAAATCCCTGGAGTTGGTTCCCTACGTAACTCCTTCATTCAGTGGCAATTTACAAGTAGATTTTTTTTTTTTCTTTTTGGAGACCGAAGAGAGCTTGATTGTATGACTCATGGAGTCTTTCTAGTCAACTTAAAAATTTTGCTGGGAACAGTGCTGCTGTGGGTTATTATGAAAACAACCTCAACTATCTCAACTTTCTGTCCGGGTTTGTGATTTTTCTACCTGCTGCTCCACTTTTCAAATGAAGTAAACCAATTTTAATATTTTGGCTACATTCATACAGAGAGATTTTCTTTGGATCAAGACTCTTGTCAACAAATGAGAGTACAGTTCATTGCCTAAAACACATCTGAGTTTGTGAATACTAAAGAAATACAAAACAAGAAGCCAACTTCTTACAAAGTATCATACATACTTCATAAGCTGAGATAATGAGCTGGAGAATGTTTCCAGAGTCCTTCTGAAGCAGTCCCACTGTGGCTCCAGGAATAAGTTTTGCGTAATTCTGTAAACAGCAGCAGCAGCAACAACAAAAGTCAGTCAATCTTTTTCTCAGTAATTGACAAGTGATAAGTGTGAGGTTCAGCTCTCAGACTGTGATCACCTCTATTTAACTGGCTGGTGAAAACAGACTCCTGATAATAAAGGGGTGTTTCTCCCTAAACTGGAGCCCCTACATGCTGCTGCTTACTGGGCTCCGTGGGAAATGGATTGGCCAGAGTTGCTACTGGGAAACCTAGGGTTTGTGGTTGTCTTTGTCTAGGGCTGTGATTTGTATCACGACAGGAGTCAAGTCTCAAAAAATAATAATAACGTTTATATAATAACTTCCACTCCTATAGCATCTGTTGTCCGAAAAATTTTGAGCATGCATCCAGGAACTTCCTTCTTATTTAGGAACCTTGAGGAAACCAAGGTTTGGCGCACAGAAGGGCAGTGAGGAAGTCAGGTTGCTCTGTAGGTTGAGAGGGCCTAATGAGCAATCCCTTGCTGGAGAATGAGTGAACTTGGATGCTTGCTGTTTACTCTCCCTTTCTTATTGGTAATGAGCGCGCCTTCAGGGATTTAGCACAGCCCTGGGTGGGTTGGAATTGCTCCCTGCCCATTATGATTGAGTGAGTAAACCTAGGTCTAAACCATCTGAGTTCTGTACTTACCTTCTTCTCCTGAGATGGTTCTACCTGAGGAGGACTCAGACCAGTTCATCAACTCTCTAGGTATTGAACACTGCCAGGGAATGAGGCATTGGGAAGAAGTGAATTTTCCAGAGAGTTGAATAGTATTCCTCTCTTAAGCTTTATGTTCTAAAACTTGGTTACCTTCAAATGAAATGTTTTCTATAGTGTGTGATAACATTCCTCTCTACATGAGCAAAGACTCCCCAGTATGTTGAAGGAATATAGTTATACCTACCAATATGAACTATTGTTCTATAATCACCAAAGGCTTTCAGCATCCATGCAGAAGTCACACCATGTGGGCCCTGACTGCTGTGCTCCTGTTTCTTGTATTTTTCTTTTATTTCTTTCTTTTGGTACTGGGGATTGAACTCAGGGGCACTTAACCACTGAGCCACATCCCCAGCTCTTTTTTTGTGTGTTTTATTTAGAGATAGGGCTTCACTGAGTTGCTTAGCACCTCACTATTGCTGAGGCTGGTTTTGAACTTGCAATCCTCCTGCCTCAGCCTCCCAAACTGCTGGGATTACAGACGTGCACCACCATACCGAGCTTGTATTTGTTTTTAACTTGTTTCTACCTTCTTGTCTGGCTCTAGCTATCAATGCTGACTCATTTACTGGTGCACTCAACATCTTCCATTAAGTAGCTTAATATGCTGTGCTACATCAACAGATGACAGCACTGTCAGCTGCAGGCTTCTATGTTGCTGTGTGTTGTGAAATCAGATGACTGGGATTAACCAAAACTGTACACAGAAAAGAGTAAATAAGCTTTGAGTGATAGATTGAGGACATCTCCTATGGCTCCAACATAATCTTGATATTCTTATTCCATAGAAGAGTTAAGTAGTTTAGAAAATGCACAGAACTAAATTAGAATCAATAATCATCATAATGATAGTGAAACTGAGTAAATAAATCAGGACAAAGGGAATGAAGGAGAGGAATGTCTGAGACCAGGGTGATGGCAGGACACAAAGGCATGCAGGAGGTCCCAGGCACTTGTTAGAGGTGGTCTTTCTACATGTCGTATGTGTAAAACAACGAGCTTCAGTTTTGATGTATGGGTTTTGTGATGTTCTGTTTATTTCAGCGCTCATGTTTGAAGTTGCTGGAAACCTGAACTCTCTTGAATGTGTCACATGCTACTGTGCTTTGACACCGCATCTTAATACTGAGGGGGCTGCAGTCAGTAAGCCAGGGAATGTACCTCACCTTCATCCTTGCCCCACATCACTGCCTGTTGGCGGAAGGCCCGTTTCTTTTTCCCCGAGTCAGGTAGAACTTATAAAATATGAGGAAGGCATTGCTTCATGGACTTACCTCTTTAAATAAACACATGTCACAAAGGGCCATGAAGCATGAGACCTGTGGTTAACAGTGAATACCTAAATTTAGGAACTTGAATTCCACTCAAGTGGAGCTGGAATGTAGGTAAATTTGACTGATCCCAGAAGAGTAGTCAGCGGGAACCTTTAGAGCTTGACAAAGAAAGGCTTAGACTCTTCTGAAAAGGAATTTCAAGGCTCTTAGCTTTGTATGCAACTGCTATCCTGGTGTCCCCAAGGATGCCACGTCAGGGGTATTTTCTGCAAGCACTAGTTCAAGTGACCTCCAAATTTGAGGTTAACTCTTGGCTAACAAAGCTGAACCTATCCACTTCCTAAAGCATAATTACGATCCTGCGTGTGGTTTGACATTTGGCATTTGGCTATTAGGACAAGTGGTTAACATTAATCGCCTTTGCCGATTGCCACTAGAGCGAGAGTATAAAGGAGTTGGCAGCCAGTAGCAGGAACCAGTGACAACACTGACAATTGTACAGAGGAAAACTATTAATTAATTTCTGGATGCTGATCTCCCCCCAAAGCACTTAAAATAATTAACTAAAAACATGGACCATTTGGCTTTGTGGTCTAACACTGTGAAAAATTATACTTTAAATCTTGCAGTATTATGATTACTGTAAATATCATGTATCAAATGCCTTCCTTTCATTAAAGTCCTAAAGGGCTATTATAAATTGTCATGATTAAACATGCTTAATGTTAGAAAAAGGATGATTTTGCATGCCTGAGTAGGATGAATTACAGCATTGTGATTCTGAAAGATGACGCTTGGATATAGAAATGGTGAATGCTGTAAACACCAGGGTGCATGAGCTGATTAGAAATGCAAACTCCTAGGCTTGGGCTTGAATTCTCTATTATCTTTTTGAAGATGATCTTAATTATCGATTTCTTCCACTCTTCCCTACTATGGTACCTAGGAGTTCCTGAGTTGCTTTTCTCACTCACTCTTTCTGATTACCTTCGTTTTCCTAACTTTCTTTGTTAAGCCCTATTTTATTGTTCCCTCTGTTCCCATCTCAAAAAAAGATTGTCCAACAGTTTACATTTGCTCCCTGAAAATCTCCTTGTCAAGGATGGAGAATGAGTGCCCAGAGGGTCATTTTGTGGGTAGGCATCAGAGGCTACAGAGGAGTGCTCTTAAGTTCACATCTGCACATTTGGGCTCCCCTCAGAGACTGTCTCCAAGTTCAGTGCCACTCAGTGTTGGGTCGCCAGAACCAGCTGTCAGGTGTGCACTTTTCTTGGCTAAGGACAGAGGAATGTCACTACTATCATGCTTTATCTTATACTCAGCACTGCTTCAAGCACAGAGCTGTTTATTTTGAATAAACAAGTTTTAATAAATTACCAGTAGTAAAATGTGGCTTATTATAAACTGAGAATTGAGAGAATTTATGATGCTATATAGTCTGCTCACAAATATTTCATCTAATCTTTCAAAGAATTTTCCCCCCCTTGAATCTCTTTGGTCATTGGCTCCTATTTGTTCCTTTTCTCTTTCTAGCTTTAATGGCAGTATAACACACATATATAGTGGGCATGTAAATAAGCAAGTATAATGACCAAGTTCCTGAAATGGGTCATGAACTGCCCCCTGGAATCCTCTCTTGTACTATCTCCCAGTTATTACTCCTCTGGCTAAAAGGAGAAATAAAAGTCAGAACCACTGAAGCCAAGAGAGGTATCTTCATGGCCTTAATGTTAAAAAAATGTATTAAATAAGATACAAAAAGCACTACCTATAAAGGAAAAGATTAATAAATAATACTTAAGAGTAAAAATTCCATCTATAGATCCAATGCCATCCCAATCAAAATGCCAGCAAGTGGGGCTGGGGATGTGGCTCAAGTGGTAGCGCGCTCGCCTGGCGTGCGTGTGGCCCGGGTTCGATCCTCAGCACCACATACAAACAAAATGCCAGCAAGTTATTTTGTGGATACGAACAAACTTATTGTAAAGTTTATACAGAGAGGCAAAAGGCCCAGAGTAGCCAACTCGATGTTGAAAGAGAAGAACAAAGTTGGAGGACTGATACCTGACTTTAAAACTTATTATAAAGCTACATTAATCAAGTCAGTATGATATTGACAAAAGAACAGGCAGACAGATCAATGGAGCAGAAGAGAGAGACCAGAAATAGACTCTCATAAATACAGTCAGCTGATCTCAAATGAAGAAGAAAGGCAACACAACAAAAACAATCTGTTCAACAAATGTTTCTGGGACAATGGGACAGCCACTTGTAAAAGCAAAAACCTAGACATAGACTAGGCACCTTTCTCAAAAGCACCTCAAAACAAATCACTGATTTAATTAATAAATGCAAAACCATCAGACACATAGAAGATAATGTAGGAGAAAATCTCAATGACCTTGAGTTTGGTGATGACTTTTTGGATACAATACCAAAGGTGCGATCCATGAAAGAATCAATGAGCTAGGCTTAAAAGACAAGACACACACTAGGAGAAGACATTTGTAAAAGATATCTGATAAAGATCTGTTCCCTAAAATACACACAAAAACCCCTCTTAAAACGCAAAATGAGGCAAAGACCTTACAGACACTTCACCAAAGAAGATATACAGATGACATATAAGCACATGAAAAGATACAATACATGACAAATCATGAGGGAAATACAAATTAAATAACAATGAGATTCTGAGAATGGCCAAAACAGAACACTGACAATACCAAATGTTGGCTAGGATCTGGAACAACAGGAGCTCTCATTTATTGCTGGCAGCAATGCAAAATGGTGGAAGATGCATTGGCAGTTTCTTACAAAACTAAATATATAATATATAAGATCCAGCATTCAGTCTTTGTTATTTACCTAAAGGAGTTGAAAAGTTACATCATCACACAGATATTTATTTATAATTACTCAAACCTGGTAACAACCAAGATATTCTTCATAGGTGAATGGAGAAATAAATTTTGGTACATTTAGACAATAGACTGTTTGTT